AGTGCAAGATTGATTTAACATTTAAAATCAGTCAATGTAATTCACTATAGTAACAAATTAAAAACAAAGACCAACTAATAAGATATCACAGACAAACTAGTTAAGATCCAAAAATCCATTCTGAGCAAGGAAAGCTCAGATAGATTTCCTTTTATATTCTGCTTTGAGGGAAAGTCTACTGCCTAAATATTATAGGACCCCAATATTACAGTGTCTCTACTAAGAGGTATTTTATGTACTTTTAACCTGAAAAAAGGGAACTTGTATTCCCTTTTACTTCTGAAAAGTACTCTAGTAACATAAGATCAGTATACCTTTCCTCCTATGTTGTCATATTATAAACGACAACAGCAATAGAACTTGATTACACTAATTGTGTGTCCAAACAGAAGCTTGAGAGGAAGGATGTGCTGTCTGCTTTAGGATGTTATACACTGTAAAGCTCAACATCTTGTCTCTGGATGGACTATCCAGCAACTACAGTCATTTGAAGATTTTGTAAGGACTGAAGCACATTAGTTATTTGGTGGGATGAGTACCCAATAAACAAGCTCTCCTCTTGCTTCATTTCAAGTGCTTTTATACTTTGGATGAATAAGCAAGCAGAATGGAAAATTGAGCCACTAAGTTATATCCATTATCTGTTACTCTAGAAAGTTCTGAAACTTATAGGTGACAGATTTGTCAAAGTTCTCTTTCCCAACTGCAAAAGGACAACCCAATCTCTGATATGAACTGTCATTAGTAATTTAGCAGAGTTAGAAGGCAGTTCAGCCGAGTAGACAGAAAATTAAAACATGGGCAGCTCCTGATTGGAAATTTATTCATAGCAGGTAATGAAATAGCACAGTCAGGATCCCTAGCACTTCTCAGAGTGAGAGATTTAATTCTGATAACTTTGATGATGGCACTTGAATCAGAGATTATAAATGGTGACAAGTTGTGACTTATAGATAGAATGAAAATGAGCAAAAAAAAAAAAAAAAAAAGAAAAGAAACTGAGCAGAAGTGACTCCATATAAGATCATTTTTTTCAA